AAAGTTGGAGGAAGTGGGGTGACGTGGAGGGTGACGTGGAGTCCACATAAACATATTTTACGAGTTGGTATACCACGTCAACGGTTCTAGTTAAGTTAACATGCCACGTAAGCCAAAATTTAACGGAGGGACTAAAAAGGGGTCGGATTTGTGAACAGTAAGGATCAAAAAGGGGATTTTTTCGGTACAGGGACTAAAAAGGGGCTTTTTCGGTACAGGGACTAAAAAGGGGCTTTTTCTTATAGTAGAGGGACCAAAAAGGGTATTTAACCTTTTCTCAAAACAACCGTGACACCAAGCCTTCAATGGAACCCCAGATATCCTTAACCATACCAATCTCCCACTTTGTTTAGGTGCCATTTCCCATGGACATATAGACTCAAACCACGTTTCAAACAACTCCTTGTTTTGCCTCATATACTCATCTAAATAACCTGTCGTTCTTTCAAGTAACAGCATCCTTCTTCCTCCTAATGGTGCTAAGATTATCAGCCCTCCATCGACGTCCATTCTGGCTTGAATACCTATCACCAGTTCTAACGATCTTACCACTGCAATCATACTTCCATCAAGCCACTGACACTCTTCCTTTTTCGGAGAAAACTCAATAATCTCATTTCCGGGTTGATCATGTTGCTTAGTAACTTGTTTATCACAAGAACCAACCTCCTCATTGACTACTTGCGTCAACCCAAATTGCTGTATCATCTCTCCATCTGCATTACCTTTATCCTTTTGACTGCCTACTGATACCCTTTTTAATTCTGGAAAATTTCCTGCAACAGCTTGGGCATACGACTAATTTGGCTGAATGAATCTGTGCAGTTTGTTATCCATATTCGTCCCACTCTCTGCACCTGTTTTCCTCTGATTTCCAGAGATTCGCTGCACTCTGTCTTCAGCAACTCTAACTCTCAACTTATATAAACCTATCTAAATCCGATTCAGTCACTTCTCCATTTGAGATACATCTCGCACGCCCAGCATGCGGACAAAGCCAAATCTCTTCCCCTGTTTATCCCTCTTTCCCAGTTCATACATGTCGACCACTCTCCCATACCTCTGGAAAGCCCGCCATAAATCTGCTTCTTGAGACTTCTCTAGAAAATTATAGAAAAAAAATGCACTTGCCTGCCCAAAAAATCGATACCCAGATCTTTCAAACCGTCGTTGGTGTCCTTGCCATCTGTGATGTCGTTGCCATCGTCTAGAATAGCTGTCTTCCCTGGTAGCCGCGCTGCTCCCTTGAACCCTAGCATTCTCCATTGTAGTAGAATCTCTTCTCTCATTTTTGTGTTGTATTTGACTTCTATACTTTTTTTTTGTTTTTTTCTGAAATTCCTTTTCATGTTATATGCAATACTCATTGTACATACATTTGGATTGCATGAATTTCACAAATTATGAATATATCTGGTTTTTCTTTTTTATCAGCAAATGAAAATATTACTGTTTACTAATAAAAAGAAGTACATGGTTGCATCTAGTCCATGATAGAATGTAATGTTTTAGAGGCAATACATCAACAATGATTCACACTTTAGTGCAGAATGTAATGTCTTAGAGGTAATACGTCAACAATGATTCATACGGCAATGCAAGAGTAATACTGTATTATTTAAAGCCTCAAAATCTCCTTATTTATGTTATTTGCAGTTAATCTTCAAATCAATACTCCCTCCATCAAGAACTATCATTTTTTGCTTTTAGATTTATTTTAAATTAATTTTTTTAGGGTAGATGAATATTTTTTTTCCTACTTTAACCCTATTATTATCTATTTATTTTGATTGATGATCCTATCATAAAAAGTCTCATTTTATCTTTTAACTTTTCCATCCTTCTACTCAAAAAAAAAAAAAAAAACCTTTTTTAGTCCTCCTACTTAAACAAGCTCATTTTTTGTTCCTAAACTTTGAAATTCGGCCACTTTTTAATCCTTCTATTAAGTTTTAGAACTTAACAAAGGGACCAAATTTCAAACTTTAGGGACCAAAAAAGGGTTTTTTAGGGACCAAAATGGGGATTTAAGCTAAAGATAAATATATAAATTGGCCTCAAATCTTTAATTTGAAGAAAAAATAAAAAAGTGATAGTTATTTTGGAACAAAGAGAGTATTATTTAAGGACTCATAATCTACTTATTTATTTAAGTTATTTGTAGTTAATCTTCAAATCTAATGGTTGAAATGATGATGTTATAGTCAGTAACATAACTCAGACCTTAAGATTTAGAAATTAAGGGTTGATAAATTATGTAAAACTTGTTTGAGAAATTTTCAAAATACTGGAAAGAGGATAATAGTTGGAGCAATTAGTAAGGCTTCATTGTATGCTGCAGGTATTTTTTGGTTGGTAGAATGCTCAAATCCACTCTTCAAGTTAAGCAATAAGAATGAATCCACTCCTAAATAAAAATAGAGACAAAATTGGCCATAAAATTTTTAATTTAAATAAATATTTCATTATTTGACGTGCATGTCATGTAACATCATCATATAACATCATCATTCCATTACCCATTGGCTGACTCGGACTTTGTAAAGACCATGGAATCTTTTTTTCTTCCGTGGACTCTAACCTAATCTCATTCCCACCTATTTAATCTATGTGTCTTTTCCATGTCATCTAAGCCCATTTTAAATACTTAATTAATTAATTTAAAATAAACAAAACTAAAACTGTTTGTTCTTCTTCCTCATCTTTTTCATCCTTCCTCAATTTTTTTATCTTTGTTACTATATCTTCTTTTGTTTGCAACCTACCGCTCATTCAATGACATCTCAATTCATGAATCCATATCAACTACAACTTCAATTTCTTCAAATTGGGACCTGGCCAACTAGCACGACAGATATGAAAACTGAGATTTGGGCTCCCATTCCACTAGCCTCATGCAAATAAAATCCTCTTACAATGAACAAAAACCCACTACCAGAAACAGCTATTTTTCATGTCGAAAAATTGGTTTGAAAATATTCAGACCGTTATTGATCTGGAATATCAGTTTGAAAATACCTGGTCTGAATAATATTAATTTCAGACCGATAAAAACTCAGTTTGAATAAAGAACATTTTCAAATCGACTTTGGTCTGTATAAAGGCCAACATTTGGAGCAAAAGAAATTATAATTCAAACCCAAAATCGGTCTAAATAAAAATTATATTCAAACCAATAACAGTCTGAGCAATAATGGCCTTACATAGAAATATAAAAAACTTAGATCCTTATGTGTCAATATGCAGAAACTATTTTTCAGACCAAAGTTGGTCTGAAAATAAGCTGGCTTGTTTAGAAAATTGAAAAAAATTGGTCCTTTTGTGTTAATACCATGAAATATTTTCAAACCAAAATTGGTCTAAAATTTGAGGGCTTATTTAAAAAAAAAAAAAAGAAAAAGTTCAGTTCTTCGGTGTCGGTATGTTGAAACTATTTTCAGACCAATAGTGGTCTGAAATATGAGGGCTTATTTAAAAAACAAAAAAAAACAAAAAGTTTAGGCCCTCGGTGTCTGTATGTTAAAATTATTTTCAAACCAACATTGGTCTGGAAACTACACAATAGTAAAATATATATATACATATTATATGTCTAAAAAATTCCCAAAGAAATATTTATTCTATATACAAATATTTACATATTATAAAAACTAAAAATAATATATTATATACTATATAATATTTCTTCAATTAAAAATAAAATGTACAATATAAACAAAAACAAAAGTAAAACACCCCCATAACAATTGAAATATAATTGAAAAATATAATCTCAATGAAACTTAAAAAAATATATAATATAAAAAAATATTCAAACATATTTTTATATCTTATAAATTTAATCATTTCCTACAAAAATAAATGAAATTCAATTAGTAAGATAAAATGAAATTAGAAAAAGCATTAAAAGATAACAAATATATATGTATAGAAGCAAAGTTTAAGATTTACCAACTTCCCATAATAACCTACAAAAAAAAAAGTTAGTAAAACAAGGAAAAATAAAATTAAGTACAACTAATATCACAAATTAACAAATCAAAAACAAAATGTAAAACTATAAACATAAAAATAGAAAATATAGTCAAAAATGGAAGAAATAATAGGGAAGGAAAGAGACAAAACAAGAAGAAAGAGGACTTGAGGAAAAATGAAAAGAAGTAAGGAAGACAGGCATAGGAAATTAGGAGAGCAACACAAAGATGAGGGGAAGAAGAGATATTAGAAGCATGAGAGAAAGAAGAGAGGGAAACCATATAGAAAACGAAAAGGAGAAGAATAGCAGAGAAAAGAGGTAGACAAGAAAAATCAATGGAGAAGGCAACAGGCGTGGAAATATATAGGCAAATTTATTTTGGATTGTAATTGGTTCGTAATGTATTAAATGGACATTTGGTGCCCAGAATAAAATTTTCAAATGAGAGGAAATTTTTGGCATTTTATTATTTTAGACCACTATTGGTCTGAAAAATGTCAAAAAAATTTAAAATTTTAGCCAAAAAGGTGGCAAAACTATTTAGACCAAAGTTGGTCTAAATAATAAAACCTCAAAAAAATGGAAGTATGAAAAATATATTTAATAAAAAAAGGAATGTTATATTTGGACCACTATTGGTCTGAATATGTTTTCCAGACCAACAGTGGTCCGAATATGTGCAGCAAATTATTATTTATTTTTTTCCCCAAGCCGTGCTAGATTCGTTTTACTCCCGTTTAAGCAACATACTCTGAAAGTCTTGAATGCCATAGAATCTAGCCTTAAAATTAGCAATACCAAGCCTATGTGTGTTCGTTTTAAGAATGGCATGGCATAACCTTAAAAGTAATGCTGGTAACTTTACGCGTTTGTGGTTTTGCAATGATGTTGCATTCCGCCACCATGAAGCTATTTTGAGAGATGAACTTATTGTGTCAGGGTTAGGAGCGACTATAATAGTGAAGTGCACGCATCTGGTTTTAGTAGAAACGAAATTAGGGTTCGTTTCGATCAAATTGTTCTTAAATGAAAATAATGAAATAGTCTCAAAGTAGAAGCTTCTAGTTTATGCTGCACATATTCGGACCACTGTTGGTCCGAATATGTTTTTCAATCCAATAATGGTTCGAATGTCTATAGCAGAATTATTTTTTTCCTCCCAAACCATGCTAGATTCATTCTACTCTTCTCCAAGCAACATGCTCTAAAAGTCTTAAATGCCACAGAGTCTAACCTCAAAATTAGCAATTCCAAGTCTGTATGTTTGTGGTGTAGTGACGACATGGCATAACTTTAAAAGTAATGATCTTAACTCTACACATTTGCGGTTTTGCAATGGTGTTGTCTTACGCCACAGTGAAGCCATTTTGAGTGACTAACTAATGGCGCCAAGCTTAGGAGCGACTATAGTAGTGAAGTGCACATATTAGGTTTAGGTAGAAATAAAAGTGGGGCTCGTTTGGGTGGGATTGTCCTTAAGTGAAAAGAATGAAAATGCCTCACAGGAGAAGCTTCTAGATTCTGGGTGTTTTATTCGGATCAATAGTGGTTCGAATAAGTTTTCCAGACCAATAGTGGTCTAAATATGTTGAGCAAAATTCCTTTATTCCCAGACCAATAGTGCCCGATTCGTTCTACTCCTATTCAAATAACATGCTATAAAAGTCTTGAATGTCATAGAGTCTAACCTTAAAATTAGCAATTCCAAGCCTACATGTTTGTGGTGTAGCAACAACGTGGCCTAACCTTAAAAGTAATAATCTTAACTTTACGCGTGTGGTTTTGCAATGATGTTGCCTTACACCATAGTGAAGTCATTTCAAGTGACTAATTGATAGCGTGGAGGTTAAGAGTGACTATAATAGTGAAGTGCACGCATCTAGTTTGGGTAGAAATAGAATCGAAGCTTGTTTGGGCGGGATTGTCCTTAAATGAAAAGAATGAAAAAGTCTAATAAGAGAAGTTTCTAGATTCTGGGCACTTTATTTAGACAACTAGTGGTCTGAATAAGTTTTCCAGACCAGTAATAGTCCAAATATGTTGTGCATAATTCTTTTTTTCCTTTGACACCCCCAAATCGTGCTTAATTCGTTCTACTCTCATTCAAATATAATAAATATAATTATATAATTATATAATAGA